GGAGAAGTCCTTGGGAAAGAACACAATAGGATAATGAAAACACAAATGAATTTTAAAAGGCATAGAACTGCAAGGGCCCAGGACACATAGCAAGAAATTTCCCTGCACAGTGGAGCCTGTGAGGCGTGTCTTTCCACCTGCTTCCCCTCATCTCTTCTCCCTCAGAAGCTGCTTTCTTCCTGGTGCCCTCTCTCCACATCTACCATTGAGTTTCTCCTGGACATCACCTTCATCCCCTCCCTTATCCAGTGGCTAAACACTCGCACTCCCCTGTAGCACCCACTTGGTCTTTTGCTTGACCTGTCTCTCTTTCTATCCCATCTTTCCCTTCCTGGTCTCTTCCTCCTCATTCCTCACCCCCTGTCCATACCCTTGACCTACAACTGAATGCACTGTGACAAGAGACATGCATGGGCCTAAAGCAGTACCTTAGCCAAGCCCCAGGCTTCTGCCCAGGAATTGCCTGCTTGTTCAGGTTAGCCTTTCTGAACATTCTGGAAATCTTCCCTTCTCTGTGTTGTTTTTCTTTTTCTTGGAATAAATTTGCCCTTCTACAAGTCCTTAGTTATTTAATCAGCAGTCTTGCTTTGCTCCTTGACATACCTCCACACAGTTTTCCACATTTCCTGATATCCTCCTGTCTTTCCTCTGCTGCATATGTTCATCTCTCTCTTATTCCTTTACTTTACTATGGCTCTGCTCACCCATCCACATATAAAGCCAAGGTGCCAAGGACTAGGGTCAGGGGAAGCAAATCACAACAACAGCAACCTGTTGATCATCTATTATATGCCAGATGCTGCACCACACACCGAGAGCACAGCAGTGACCAAAACAGACAAATCCTCACCCTCAGGAAGTTTGCAGCTACTGCAGTGGAAGGAGATGACAACAAATAGGATCAGTGAAATGGGTAGGAGGTTGAATGGTGTGAGAGATGCTGTACAATAAGGCCATCTGCCCTCAGGAAGGCAGATGGGAAGCAGGGAGTCAGAGAAGAGGGGAGCTGGATCATAGGAAGTCATCCTCAGATGGCCTTGATGAGAAGTTGATAAGTGAGTAAAGGTGGGAAGGAGCACCCCCAGAGACAGCTGGGGACGGGAATTCCAGGTAAAGGGCCCGGAGGTGAGGGTTGGGGGAAGAGCCTCAACTCAAAGTGAGGAGAGCAGAAGAGACAAGGAGGTAAGGAAGGTGATGACTCTGAGCAAGGGGACAGGTGCAGACCTTTTCTACCTGAAATCCCTTCAGCTTGTTTTTGGAAAGTGCTTTCAAGCCAAGGTTATGAGTGCTATAAAAAAAAAAAATAGAAACTACAAGGCTGGGGCTGGGTCTGTAGCTCAGCAGTAGAGCATGTGTGAGGCACTGGGTTCGATCCTCAGCACCACACAAAAGTAAACAAATAAAAAAAGGTATTCTGTCCATCTACAACTACAAAAAAAAAATTTTTAATAGAAAATACATATTACTACACATAGCCACTCTTTTCTTCCCTTCAATCAAAAGCAGCCAGCCCCATCCCTTCTCACCCCCCCTACAGCCCCAGCTTGGCTTCAGTTGCTCTGTGTTGTCACAGTTCCTCTTCTTTGGCAGCAAAAAGAAAGAGGAAAGCAAGTGTGTGGATCTACTTTGGTCCACCCCCCTCCCGTTCTCTGTCTGAGAGGGTGACTGTATGAAGCATCACCTGCCACCTGCCTGTGACTCGCTAGCAGTTTGCCGCAGTGAAGGATGGCTGCCACCTGGAAGAGTTGATCAGTTCATAGGAATAAGTTGGGGATGATCCATCTGACCTGTACAAAACCAGGTAGGCTTCTGCAGTTTGGATTTTTACAGAAATCCAAACTTTCAGCTGGGGAGAATAAGAAACAGCAGCTAAGTGCCAGGGTGGGCTGTGAAAGCTGGCCATTCTTCTCTGACCATGGTCTCCTTCCCAAATCTGTAACTCTAGCCCCCTCCCGCCAACAAAAACCTTAACCTCCAAGAGCTTCTCCAACAGCAGGTCTGCAGCCTCAGTCCTGCTGCAGTCACATGCAGCTGCTGCCTGAAATACAGAGCACCCCTGGCTTCATGCGCCACTCTGCTTGGAATTGAATCTCCACTTGGGGGTTGGGAATTTGGGGTTCTTACAGTAATCGCTACTGCCTCTTTGCTGGTCAGCTCAGGGCTGTACTGCGCACATGTGCTGGCAAGGGAAGAGGGAATGCAGACCCTCATACAGGCCCTGGGAGGGGCTTTGCTCACTTGGTATTGGAAAGATCATCCCTGTCTCTCCCACAGTTCTTCATAGTGACTTAGTAGGTTTGTGCTGCCTGAGGCCTCAGCTTTTGTGCTCCTTCCCCTGGTGAACCTCCATGGCCCCCAGGAATACAAAGTAGCAATATCAGTTAGTCTGTGTTTCCTTTAGTTTGGAAATTCATTTCCTATCCAGAGCTTATCTGATGCTCACAACCATCTTGTTGAACAGAGAAGCAAATTACTGTTTTCCCCTTTTGGTGGGATTTGGCACCAAGTTGCCTGAGTCTTAGCCAGGCAAGGTAATGCATGCTT